GAAGGAATCACCAACTACAGCTAGGGGGTGTGAGACCACTCGCCGGAAATGACCACTGTTTCAGGTTCCAAAACTGGGACTCGCATCCGGTCCGCAGCGCAGCATCAAGTAAGAGAGATCAGCAGCATCGTTTTGCCATGTGCAGCGAGCCATTTTACAGGCAAGACCATGCGGTGGAGTCGCGTGGACGATGGGTTTGAGAGGGGCAAAAACTTTGATGGTTTGGTGTTGACCCTTTAGCACGTGCACGAAAGAGGCTCCGCATGTTGTGTTGCCGAGCTGTGTCGTGCCCACATGTATGAGTTGTGCCTGCGGCGTACGGCATCAGTCACGCTTTGTGTGCTTGCTGCGAGTCAGCCCTCCAGGGTGCGAGGGCATTGTTAATCGACAGTTTTTTTCGACCAGAATTTGGAGGGCATCAAAATGCCCAGCAGCTTGCAGAATGATAGCTTGTCCGTTTGAGCTTGGAGGGCATCCAACTGCCCAGCAGCATACAAAGTTCAGGCTTGCGCGGCAACCAACTCGCGGTCGCCTTCAGTGCAGGCACCAGAGTTTGGAGGGCATCCACAGTCCAGCATCCTGCAGCAGTTCACGCTTTGATAGTGCTTTGATTGGTTGTTCGTGTGGCAGCATGCAAAATTCAAGCTTGCGGGCATCCAATTACGCGGTCGCTTTTTTCAGTGCAGGCGCCAGAGTTTGGAGGGCATCCGTAGTCCAGCAGCTTGCAGAAGTTCACGCTTTGATACTGCTTTGATTGTTCGTTTGAGCTTGGAGGGCATCCAACTACCCAGCAGCATGCAAAGTTCAAGCTTGCAGGGCATCCAACTACGCGGTCGTTTTTTCAGTGCAGGCGCCAGAGTTTGGAGAGCATCCGTAGACTCCGCAGTCCAGCAGCTTGCAGAAGTTCACGCTTTGATAGTGCTGTGATTGTTCGTTTGAGCTTGGAGGGCATCCAACTACCCAGCAGCATGCAAAGTTCAGGCTTGCGGGGCATCCCACAACGCGGTCGCTTTTTTCAGTGCAGGCGCCAGAGTTTGGAGGGCATCCGTAGTCTCCGCAGTCCAGCAGCTTCAAGAAGTTCCCGCTGTGTAGTGCTGTGATTGTTCGATTGAGCTTGGAGGGCATCCAACTACCCAGCAGCATGCAAAGTTCAGGCTTGCAGGGCATCCAACTACGCGGTCGCTTTTTTTCAGTGTAGTCCAGCAGCTTGCAGAAGTTCACGCTTTGATAGTGCTGTGATTGTTCGTTTGAGCTTGGAGGGCATCCAACTACCCAGCAGCATGCAAAGTTCAGGCTTGCAGGGCATCCAGCTACGCGGTCGCTTTTTTCAGTGCAGGCGCCAGAGTTTGGAGTGTTGCAGCAGTCAGCCTGCAGAAGTTCATGTTCTGATAAAGCTGTGATTGTTCGTTTGAGCTTGGAGGGCATCCAACTACCCAGCAACATGCAAAGTCCAGGCTTGCAGGGCATCCATCTACGCGGTCGCCTTTTTCAGTGTAGTCCAGCAGCTTGCAGAAGTTTACGCTTTGATAGTGCTGTGATTGCTTGTTCGTTTGAGCTTGGAGGGCATCCAACTACCCAGCAGCATGCAAAGTTCAGGCTTGCGTGGCATCCAACAACGCGGTCGCTTTTTTCAGTGCAGGCGCCAGAGTTTGGAGGGCATCCGTAGTCTCCGCAGTCCAGCAGCTTCAAGAAGTTCACGCTGTGTAGTGCTGTGATTGTTCGTTTGAGCTTGGAGGGCATCCAACTACCCAGCAGCATGCAAAGTTCAGGCTGGTGGGGCATCCAACAACGCGGTCGCCTTTTTCACTGCAAGCGCCAGAGCTTCCGTAGTCTCCGCAGTCCAGCAGCTTGCAGAAGTTCACGCTTTGATAGTGCTGTGATTGTTCGCTTGAGCTTGGAGGGCATCCAACTACCCAGCAGCATGCAAAGTTCAGGCTTGCGGGGCATCCCACAACGCGGTCGCTTTTTTCAGTGCAGGCGCCAGAGTTTGGAGGGCATCCGTAGTCTCCGCAGTCCAGCAGCTTCAAGAAGTTCACGCTGTGTAGTGCTGTGATTGTTCGTTTGAGCTTGGAGGGCATCCAACTACCCAGCAGCATGCAAAGTTCAGGCTGGTGGGGCATCCAACAACGCGGTCGCCTTTTTCACTGCAAGCGCCAGAGCTTCCGTAGTCTCCGCAGTCCAGCAGCTTGCAGAAGTTCACGCTTTGATAGTGCTGTGATTGTTCGTTTGAGCTTGGATGGCATCCAACTACCCAGCAGCATGCAAAGTTCAGGCGTGCGGGGCATCCAACAACGCGGTCGCCTTTTTTCAGTGCAGGCCCCAGAGCTTGAAGGGCATCGTTCGTTTGAGCTTGGAGGGCATCCAACTACCCAGCAGCATGCAAAGGTCAGGCTAGCAGGGCTCCAACTACGCGGTCGCTTTTCTTCAGTGCAGGCGCCAGAGCTTGGAGGGCATCCGCAGTCAGTCTGCAGAAATGCATGCGTTGATAGTGCTTTGATTGCTTGTTCGTTTGAGCTTGGAGGGCATCCAACTACCCAGCAGCATGCAAAGTTCAGGCTTGCACTCGCGGAGCATCCAACTCGCGCTCGCTTTCAGTGCAGGCACCAGAGTCTCATCCGCAGTCCAAAAGTCTGCAGAAGTTCACGCTTTGATAGTGATGACTCTTCTGCCACCTTGTCGGACTTTGTTGCGCAGAAATCCGTCGAAAAACGTGTCTATGCCGGCGTTATTTCTTCTGCTGAGTCGGAGTGCTTGAACTGCCTACCTTTTTCACTCTGATTTCGGCTCTTGCTAACAACTGTTCGGATTTGAGCGGGAGAAATCCGTCGAAAAAATGTGCCGATGCCGGTTTTATATCTTCTGTTGAGTTGAAGTGGGGACCCAATTTTTCTTGACCTCTTTTTTTTCTTTGCACTTTTTTTTTTGGGTTTGGGGGCTTCGGTTAAAGGCGGTCGTTCTCCATGCGTTTGCTTTGCGCTCCGCTTTCTGTCGCTTGCTGCTTTCTTTGCTTGTTGCTTTGTTGTGATTGTTGCTTTTGCTTTCTGTTGTTTTTGTTCTTTTACTTGTTGCTTAACAACTCAATGCCCTGGGTTTCTCTGCATTTCCACCGCAAAACATCTCTTTTCCCGTTGTTTGCCTAGGAAAACTTCTGTTTCCCTCTGTTTTCATAGGAAAACCCTCTGTCTTCTCTGTATTCTACTAAGCACAAACACTTGGTTTCATTTGCATGTCCACAGGAAAACCTGTTTTTTCTTCTTTTCGGATAGGAGAACTTTGCAGAGAAACCCAGGGAATAGAGTTGTTTTCCTGGGCAAAGAGGAAGAACGCAGGAGCCCAGGGCAAAGAAAAAAAAAAGGGCCAAAAAAAGAAACAAAAAAAGGGCAAAGGAAAAATCTACACCCAGTTGAAGTGCTTGGAATGCGGGTTTGCCTACCTTTTTCACTATGGCTTTGGCTCTTGCTTATAGCTGCTCGGATTTGGTGCGGCAGCAATCCGTCGAAAAAATGTGTCTATGCCGGTTTTACTTCTTCTGTTGAACCCGCGTGCTTGGAATACGGGTTTGCCTACCTTTTTCACTATGACATTGGCTCTTGCGTATAGCTGTTCGGATTTCGAAAAATGTGTCTATGCCAGTTTTAGTTCTTCTGTTGAATCCGCGTGCTTGGAATGCGGGTTTGCCTACCTTTTCCACTCTGATTTTCGGCTCTTGCCTCTTGCTGTTCGGATTTTTTGCGCCAGGAATCAGTCGAAAAAATGTGTCTATGCCGGCTTTACTTCTTCTGTTGAATCCGCGTGCTTGGAATACGGGTTTGCTTACCTTTTTCACTATGGCTTTGGCTCTTGCTTATAGCTGCTCGGATTTGGTGCGGCAGAAATCCGTCGAAAAAATGTGTCTATGCCGGTTTTATTTCTTCTGTTGAATCCGCGTGCTTGGAATACGGGTTTGCCTACCTTTTTCACTATGGTTTCGGGTCTGACACCGAAAAACGTGTGACTGTCGCCACTTTTAGGATGCAATTGTGCCAAAACGCAGGGAATATGCTTCTTCCAAAGCAAAACCGTGTGACAGTTGCCAGTTTTGGAAGACAATTTTGCCAAAACCCAGGGAAAATACGCATTCCAAAATAGATTGCCAAAAACCGGAAAAAAACAACACAACGCTTCAAACAATAGAAAATGCTTCATTTGCCATTGCTTTTACTCTTCTGAAGCGTTGTGTTGTTTTTTTTCCGTTTTTGGCAATCTATTTTGGAACGCGTGTTTTCCTTGGGTTTGGGCACAATCACCTGCCAAAAACGCCAACTGTCACACGGTTTCGCTTTAGAAAAAGTATTTTCCTTGGGTTTTCCTTACGTTGTTGCACATTGGATGCCAGAATCCTTGTGACTGTTGTGGTTTTCGTAAGTTTGCACTCCCAAAAAGTGGCACGAGTCACACGGTTTCTGCAAAGAGAACACACATTGTGGATCTTTGGCAAACAGACTCAGTCTGCGTGGGGAGAGAGAGTGGGAGTCAGCGTTAGCGTCGGTGAGTTCGTGTCAGCGAGTGTCAGTGTCAGTGTTCATGAGTCAGAATGTCCGTTTGAGGGCCAGCGTGGTTGTGGGTCCCGTCCTTGTAAAGTAGGTGCGAGCGTGCGTGTAGTTTCTGTCTTGCAAGTCGCCGATGGAGTAGATGAGCAAAGCATCGCGTCACGAATTTGTCCTTGAGTAGATGAGCCCTTTGTAATGCAGGATTCAAGCAGTTCGTGCAGTCTCTCATGGAGGCGCCGCATTCGGAAGCATTGCTTCTGTGCTTCAGTGGCACCAGGGTGCTTCGACGTTAAAGGTTGAACCTGTGGATTTCCCAGTTTGAACTGTGGGTTCAACACCATCTTCCACCATCGTGACGTGCCGCAGGGTGGCCATCCATCTGAGGGGTCCATGCCGTAGCGTCTCGCTCGGACGTTCTGCAGCCGGCGAAGGACTGTCGGCCCGATGCAGCAAACTCACAATAGCACGCACATGGACAGCAAGACACATGTCGTGATGCTAGCAGCACAGCAACGCCATGGAAGAGGAAAGCTCGAGCTCGAGCAACCCGAGCAGCTCGAGCAGCTCTTCGTCTCGGCCTGCCAAGAAGCCGCGTCGTGCAGAGCAACCTGAACGACGCCTGACGCGACGCCTCTGGCACGGAGTCTGGGCCACTCCCTCTCAGGATGGACTGCGAAGACCTTGTGAAGTGTGGAAAAAGCGACTTTGCTGCGATCTTGGGGCGGCTTCTTCGGGAAACGCTGGGTGTCATGCTGATGAAATACAGCATCTTCCAAGAAGAGCATGCGAGCGGTGAACGCCATTACTATTTTCCGGTGCTGGCAGATCGTCCGGTCAGTTCGCTTGGCCTCGGGAGGCTTTCCGACAGGAGCGGATCTACGCGCATTTTTCTTCAGCGCACGACTACTATTTTGGTGTCATACTGTATTTGGCGGTTCCAACGGAGAAGAAGCCGACTGTGGATCGGGAGCCGTTCTTATCTGATGATCACGAGAGCATTCACGACATCTTGGCAAACCCTCCGCGTGGAGCACGCAGGTGCGACAAGGCCGCTTGGTCAATCAAGTTCCACATGAGAATAGCAATGTTTTGGCTTCTATCTCACATGAGAATAGCAATGTTTTGGTTTCTATCTCAGTTCAGGACAGAGCGCTGGCATTTGTCGGCAAACCCACTTCAGCTGCGAGTGCCATGATGTCCCACCACGCCTTCGCGTAGTGGGTGGTGGAGTCCAAGCTCCACTCGCGAAAGGCTGTGCTGGCTGCGGCGAAAAGCAACGAAAGCGTTTTCCAGTACGTGTGCAGATACCAAAGCGACTTGGAGCAAAAGATACGCTTCGCTTGGGAAATTCATGATGCACCAGACGAGGTGGCACATGATGCCATGTCCAATTGGGACTGTGTGCTGGCAGCTCGCGAGAAGCCCTGTGTCTGCCACGGCCGCTGGGTGCCACTCACAGAAGAAATGCTGCGCAAGCAAGAAGTTGCGTTCCGTGTAGATGTTCTGCAAGAAAAGCCGTCTGTGGCAGGAATGCGTGCGCGAAGTGTCTGACGGAAGGGCGAGGGAAGTACAACAATGTGTATATCTACGGCCCGCGGAATTGTGGAAAATCACACATGGAGGACCCAATCATCGCCCTGTGGTTCTGCTGCACATGCATCGTTTTCTGCGCGATGTCTTGGTTGATGTGAACTATATGAGTGTGTACTTGGCACAGAAACCGTGGTGTTTACGTTTGCTTCTTGTTTCTAAGGGTGCGGTTCCTGGGTATCTGAGGTTCGGTGCTGAATGCTACGTGAAGCCTGTGGGCGTGGCAAATTCCTTCCCATTGCAGTCCATCTTCGACAAGCGCATCATGGTTCTGCAAGACCTGCGCGTAGACTCCTTGAAGCTCTCCTTTGATGCTCTCCTCGTCCTTCTTGAAGGACAGGCTTTGGAAGTTCCTCTCCCTCGCAATCACTTTGCTGCCAACAAAGTCTACACTGGAACAGCTGGATGCTTTGCAACATCCGGCAACAAACTGCGGATTCCACACTGCGAGGCCGTGAAGTTGAATGTGCTTCCGGCGGAACAAGATGCAATGATGGATGCTCGCTGGCAGTATTTTCGCTTTGACCACGCTTTTTCGGCTGTGGACATCGAAAAGATTGAAGCGTGCGCTTCATGTTATGCGAATTGGGTCTCTGCCGGGCTGCCAGCAGTGCAGCGAGAGCTGGGAGACGAGCCGCCTGAAGAGGATGAGGATGAGGATGTGCGCTGGGGGCTGTGAAAAAGGCAAAACAGAGACGCCTGCTGCAACTCGCAAATTCCAAACATCCGCATGCGCCCAGCAGCCTGATCATTGAACAGAATAAGCTGCAGGAGCGACACCCAAGTTGCTCAAAGAATCGATTATGCAAGCCTTGACTTTGGTCTCCATCAGATGTGTCCACGGATTCTATGCATAACCTCAGCCACCTTAGCCACGCAACAACCCAGAAAAACAACACTAGAAGGCGGCACAACCCAGAAAAAGCAACACTAGAAGAGCGTCTTCCATGATCGGACAGTGAGCAGCGTGGTCGCATCATCCAACCATTGTCCATCTGTCATTGAAGACGGCTTTCTAGCGTTGCGTCCCACACGGTTTTCTCTCGTTGCGTCGTTGTACTAACGGGTGAGGTTTGGGATCCAAGTACACAGCAGCCTGCAGAGTGTGTCGTTTGCCAGGTTGTTCAAGCAGAGTTTTGTTTTGTCCAACCTGTGCTCGGAAGGCATCCAACGAGAGTGCGAGCTGGAGCGGGACACCCAGCTGCCCAGCGCCTGCGGAGGGCATGTAAGGGCATGAAACTGCCCAGCAGCTTGTTCCGGTTTGAGCTTTGGAGGCTACCCAGCAGTGTGCAAAGTTTGACGTTTGTCGTTTGCCAGCTTGTTCGAGCAGAGTTTTGTCCAAGTGGTGCTCATTGGTGCTAAAGCTTGCTGGGTTGCCGAAAAGGCTACAAGGGGAGAGAGGAGAACGCTTGCTGGATTGAGTGTAGGGTAGTATAGTGAGAAAGAGAACGAACGCTCGCTGTGTGTGTGTGTGTGTGTGTGTGTGTCTGTGAGAAGTGCGTGTAGGGAAAGGCAAGAGCGCTCGCTGGGCTTGGTGTGTGTGTGTGTGTGTGTGTGTGACGTCGAAAGAGCTGCACTCCCGTCGATGGCTAGTTTCACATGTCATGTCTAATTTCCACCCTCTGGGGTGCGTAAACAACAGCATTGCGATGTTCACAGACGAGTGTCGGGCATGTGATTCTTGCCTGGAGCTCTGAATGTCAAAGTGAGAATGCTCAAGCATCACGCTGTGCAAGATCTGCTTGACGAGGCGCAGCAGATTCAAGCCTCTCAGGTGCTGTTGTTGCCGTTCATTCGTTCTGACAGCAGGACGGTGGTCAGAAGTCGAATCCGTGCAATGCTCAGACTTTCCACTGGGCAGTCTTTTATTCGTGAAAAAGAGCGGGCCGTCCAGTAAGGTGCTGAGTCGAGGGTCGCACCGCAGACAGATCCAAGCCGAAGCCTCTGACAGTGCTTTTGCTTCCGTTCTGATGGATCAGTCACTGACGAGGTCGGCGATGGCGACGATGTTGTGCGAGATCAGTTGGAAAACGTGCAGCACTTGCAGTGTGCATGTGCAGCAGATCCAAGCCTTCAGCGCAACTTTTGCAATGCGGCGTTTCGTGCAGCAGATCCAAGCCAATCCGACAGTTGCAGTCTTTGGTGACATGCAGTCTTTGTCAGCAGATCCAAGCCTTCAGCACAACTTTTGCAGTGCAGCGTTCGTGCAGCAGATCCAAGCCAATCCGACAGAGCTTCTGCAGTGACATGCAGTCTTTGTCAGAGAGAGAGAGAGAGAGAGAGAGAGAGAGAGAGAGAGAGAGAGAGAGAGCGAGAGCACGTGACGTGCAAGTTAGCAAGAGAGATGCAGGTCAAACCCCGACAGTTGTTACACATGTGTGTTTGTGTTGTTGTTTGGAAGTCGTCGCATCTCCACATGCTGGTGTAGGGAATCTGGGTTCGGACACAGGCGACGTGGCCAATCTCCAGAATGCTGGTGTAGAGAAGTGTTTCGTCTTTGTTCGGGCAGTCGTTGCCTTGTCACGCCGCTTGCAAGAGTATTGGAGAAGGCCACATGAAACGAAGCGCAAGCCGGCCAAACGACGTAAAACAAATTTCCGCATGCTGGTGTAGGGAAAATATGCGTTGGGACACGCGCGACGTGTGGCTTCAATGCGGGCGATAAGAGTTAGAAAAGTAGAGGAAAAGGCGCCGCCGACAAGCGTGCAACATGCAAAGAAACCAAAAAAATTTTCACGATGCTGGTGTAGAGAAGTTTTCGTCTTTGTTCGGGCAGTCCTTGTGCCTTGTCACGCCGCTTGCAAAAGTATTGGAAAATTCTACATGAAACGAAGCTCAAGCCGGCCAAACGACGCAAACCAAATTTCTGCATGCTGGTGTAGGGAAAATCTGCTTTGGGACACGCGCGACGTGTGGCTTCAATGCGGGCGATAAGACTTAGAAAAGTAGAGGAAAAGGCGCCGCCGACAAGCGTGCAACATGTAAAGAAACCAAAAAACAAATTTCACGATGCTGGTGTAGAGAAGTTTTCGTCTTTGTTCGGGCAGTCCTTGTGCCTTGTCACGCCACGTGCAAAAGTATTGAGAAAAGCTACATAAAGCAGATTCGAACCGGCAAAATTTGCGGATATTAACTTTCCGAATGCTGCTGTAGGGAAGATCTTGGTTTGGACTTGCATGAACCCACATTCCGGGCAAGTACACAAGCATGGAAGACTGCTACGTCAATGCGAGCAACAAGAGTCCCGCAACCGCCGCCACAAACCCGTGCGAAACGCTAAGAACTTGGAAATGTCTGTTGGGAATGCGGGTGTAGTTAAGGCGTTGGTGTGTGTGTGTGTGTGTGTGTGTGTGTGTGTGTGTGTTGAGCAGTCGTTTGGCCAGCAAGACAGAGTGAGACAGACAGAAGGCAGGAGGTGACAAGGAAAGAACACGCCAGGGAAAGTGTGAGCCAAAACGGGAAGCGGGCAGAAGAAACGCTAAGTGAGCAAGTGATCCAACTTGGAGTGCTCGGCAGCCATTTTTTCGAGGGAGGGCAGCAAACTTATTAGAGCTCTTCGAACTTTGCAGAAGCAAGGCAGGAGCTTCGGTTTTGTATCGTTAAGCTTGGATGCTTGGTTTGAACACCAGGCGGTGGCAGAACATGAGGTGGCAGTTGAGGTTGCCGAGGCTCCTAGATTTTAGAGGTGTTGGACTTCCGGTTTCGGTCCAGCATAACGTTCCTTGCAGGCAGTGCCCGGTCTGGATATGGACCGTGAGGCCTTTGGGTGCCGCGTTACGGTGCGTCCGAGAAGTTTGGATAATCGTGTGTTTGGAACTTGCAGGGCCGAGCTGACGATGGTGATTTCGAAGCAGATGAGGCTTTGGAAAGTATGTGTTCTTGGTTTTCGGCGTCCTGCAGACCCTTCCTTGGAGGCAGTCCCTAATCCACCGGCTGGAGACTTGGCCAGCCGCTTGAGTCCGTCCTAGATAATCGTGTGCTTGGAACTTGCCGGGCCGAGCTGACGATGGTGATTCCGAAGAAGATGAGGCTTTCGAAAGTATGTGCTTGGTTTTCGGCGTCCTGCAGACCCTTCATTGGAGGCAGTGCCTAATCCGCCTGCTGGAGACTTGGCCAGCCGCTTGAGGGCCCTACTCACTGCGCGAGCCAACCTGAATAGGCAGAAGAAGCAACATGCGAAAGACATCAAGGCAGCTCAGAAAAGTCTGCGTCATGTAAGAAAAACGGCGCAGCAATTGTCAGAAGCAGACCTTGCGGAGATTTTGATTCTGAAACGAGCGACGGAGCGGCAAAAGCCAAAGCCAAGTCTGCACCGAAGGCAAAGGCCGCGGCACCGTAGAAAGCTGCTGAGCAGCCTGGCTGTGCTCGCTTTGTGAGAGTCAGAGCTGTGCTGCGGCGAATATGTGTCTCGAAGGGATGCTGCTTGTTCGTGGGTGCACAGCTGTTTCGGCAAGTGGCCAGCCCTTGCTCGTTTGGTGGACTTCTGGTGTAAAGCAAGGTGTCTCGAAGAGATGCTGATTTTTGTGTCCGTGCACGCCTGTTCCTGGTGTAAAGCAAAGTGTCCCGAATGGGACGCGACTGCTCGCTTTGTGACAGCTGTGCTGCGGCGAAGATGTGTCCCGAAGGGATGCTGAATAAGGGTCTGAAAAATGCCCGGTTGCTGGCTTCAACGCGCAGGCCCTCAAGTATTTGCTACGGCGCTGCTACTGCTGTTGCTTCCGCGACAGAGCTGCTACTGCGCTACTGCTGTTGCTTCCCCGACTGAGTTTCTCCGTGAAAGCTGCTGCCCGGAAGAAAGGCTCAAAGTGTCTTTTGCTACGTTGGCGGTTGTTGTTGTTTTGGCCTGCTCCGAACTCTTCCGCAAGGGAGTTGTTGCTACGGCCACGTGGCTGCTCAGAGCAGGTTCAAAGTGCCTTGCCAGGCAGGTTGGTTTCTCACTCTTTCGTTCGCTTTGTGTGAGCTTGAGAGAAGGTGGTGTTTGGGAGGTGGTCGCTCGTGTGTCTCACGACTTGGCCCCAAAAGGGGAGACATAGTTTTGGGTCGCTTCGGGCGAAAACAGCAGGCCCTCTGGTGTTCAGCTCAGAGCCTCGATTGGCTATTGCTTGGAGCGTGTTGGCCTGTGCCGCGTGCTTTGCTCAGCCTTGCAGTGGTAGGCTTTGGCTCAACTTCGTGATTTGCTCGCAAAGCGACTGAATCGCGCAGCCCTTAGACACGCTCCGTTGTACAGTGTATACAAAGTTTCTTCAGCCCCGCCACGCAGTGTGTACATCTGCAATGGACGACTTGGCTCGTGTCCGTGCTGAGATCAAGCGTTTGAGGGGACAGCACCGGTACGCCAGAAAGATGGAGCGGCAAGCAGGCCTGACGGCGCGAGCTTGTCTTGTCGCTCTGGGATGCTACGTCCTTAGTGGGTTTGATGTGTGTGTAGCAGTGGCTTTTGTCAAGCAGCAGCCACGTTTGCATTCGGATCCAGACGTTGACACCCAAGACCTTGTAGAGACTTGCTTTTTGGAAGCATCTGATGCTAGCATCCTGGCTTTGTGGCACCCTGAGACAGCTTGGCAAACCAGGGTACGTTCAGAGGCGTGTGCGTTCATAGCTGAACATCGAACTGTACAGCACATGAAAGACTGCAACTTCGATGGGGGCTTTGCGCCTGGATCGCGCGAAGTCGTGGAC